CTTCCGCAACCCTTGCATTGTAGCATTGATCTACGACACAGCCACGTTGAGGATACCACTTAGTTCATATTTCTCACCAGACAGTAGGCACGTTGATAATGAGCAGCCATGATGAGCATTATTTGCATTGGCCATCGAACGCATGGAGACCAGACAACCCACAAAATAAATTGGCAAACCACCCCACTGCAAGCACAAACACGACGAGCAACGTTTGTGGCGCCATAGGCCGGCAGAGAAAGTTACTCATATTTCGCCTTACAATATCGGGTATTTTTGTTTACAAAATAGCAAATCATATTCGACAGCACCGCACTGACTTGTTCTGTGTCTTTGTCTTATTGTGGCTGCGTGATTTTTTGTTGCATTATCTGCGAAGGAACCCTCCGCTTTCGTAGCAGCGCTTTCCTTGACTTCAAAAGTTTTTCAACCCCTGTTGTCGTGTGCTAGTTAGTTGCAGCCACCGGCGTGTTTTAGGTGAATGCACTGTTATATAGAATGGTGTTGTTGTGAATCCTTATTGTATGTACAAAATCGTATGACCCTTCTAACTTTGTAGCTGTTATTGTAGTATTTCATGGCTGTACTTTGGCAATATCGTGCGGCATTGAGCCTATTCGGCAGTTATCTGCTTTTAACATGTGGAAGTAAGTTTCCGAAGACTATAATAGAGGGCATTGCTCTTGACAAGCACCGTTAGGTATTTAATTGTAGAAATGTGTTTTGATAACTTTGTTGAAAATATTGAAAGAATTTACGAATAAATAGTAATTACTTAGTGTAGCAATGAACATAACCTTAAAAAAATCGAAAGGAGGCTTTTGCAAGCAAATTTTTTTTTTGCAGTATGTTCTGAACACCAAGTTACATCTTTACTTTCTAAGTCCTTTGATTACAAATTCTTTAGAAATGCTTTAAAAATATTGAAGTATTATTTAGTACTAACACGTTTCGCTGGAAGAAGCAATGAGTTCTCAGATGTAATTGAGAGGAAGAGCGCCTAAAATTAGCAGCTTACTCACAATTGAAAACGACCCCGCTGGGCGATTTCCACAGCAACCAGTTCTACGTTTCCGGAATTTACCAGGATTTTTTCCGGCCAAGGGCAGTTAATTCGAGGATCTAGCCCGGTTTGAATCGGTAACCGAAAAATAAATATTTTCATCACCAAACCTACTACCAGCAGCCGACCTGATCTATATCATCTTGATTCATTGATGAAAAGGCTCTATCCAATAATACTGTGGAACATGTTTGAGATTATTGTCTGGGGGGTGTCTGTTGCACTGTGTAACCATCCGGTTGGTTGTAACAGATACAACAGATGGAGCCTGTCAAGGCCTTAAGCCCACGGGCCGCATGCTGTAATTGCATAACAGCGAACCTTTACGGTCCCAAAAAGTTCCACTAGGCATCATGACTCCCACTCTCAACAGTCCCAACTCATCTTATGCGCTCGATGCCTGATAGGCTAAGTGTGCAGTCTTTAAATGCATTTTTCTCGAAATTGTGTTTTTGAATACGGTTGACAAGATTTCTCGAGAACTTCTCAATCGATCTTCATGAAATTTTACAGAGATCTTTGAGAGACAATTCTTAAAGACTTCGGCGAAGGATTTTTTTCGAATACAACTATTTGAAAAAAAAGTTTCGCGAAATTTTAATTTTTTTTGTAAAAATGTCTGTCAAAAATCCAATTCCCAGATGTTTTTCCTTTATCCAAGTTCTAAGTTACGATTTTAACTAAAAAACTTTTTTTTTCACTTGAGATGGTCCTGTAAGGTCCTGCTAAATTCTAACAAAATATATAATTTTTTATTTCAGAAAAAAATTTTGAAAAAAGCTGTTTTTCCCCCGACGAAACCAACGTAACCCGCCTTAAGTGCACAGTTACCACCACAATACCTTATGTCATAAATGCCCAGATAACACACGGTCTTAATTAAAAACCACTCTGTAAGATCTTAGTAGCGTTGAACTGGTCAAAAGCTCTTTACACTTTTAGTCAAACAACGATACTAGAGCACATTGAAAAATCGACGCTTTCTCTAGGGACATCAAAATTCCAACGAATTCATTTGTTAACGTATTATAAACTTATACGTACACACACGCTCTTGTCGATTTGAACATACTATATGTATGTATAACACTTGGAGAACATGAACCCGGTTACCCAATGGATAATGAGGGAGCTGAGTTTCCATTGCCTGACAATGAAGAAGTTCGAATAGACATTACCCGATTGCCGACCGAGCTATTCAAAACGGCGGCGATGAACTGATAAGGAACATGCATCAGCTTCTTTGTAGAAAATGGTCAGACGAAAGCATGCCCGACAATCCACAAAATGGGAAACCCCACATTTATCTTGGTGTGAACCTCAACATCGCATATACATAAGTTTCTATCGAGCGCATTCTGTGAAAGTTTAAAGCCCACCGGCAGATATTCACCATGCGCCAAATCTTGAAAGAGACCCGTGAAAAGAGGATCGGCACACACCACCTCTTCGTCGATTTTAAAGCTGCTTTTGACAGCATGAATATGCCGCTGAATTTGGTATCCCCGCAAAACAACTACGTCTGTGTAACGTTGCTGACGTTGAGCAATACCAAAAGTTTTATCAGTATCGCGAAGAACCTCTGTGAGCAGCTCGATACTAAAAGAGGTTTCAGACAAGGCACTCTCCTGCGACTTCTTCAATCTACTAAGGGAGAGGCTAACAGGTGCTACCTGCGATGGAGAAGTAAAGTCCTCTCTACACGAGCAAAAACCAAACTTTATAAAAACTCATTATTCTCGCCTGCTATATGGTGCAAAGGCATCTGATGAGTCGACGTTACGAGTTTTCTTGAGAAACGTTCTGCGGAAGATTTATGGTCCTTTACGCGTTGGCCACGGCGAATATCACATTCGATGAAATGGTGAGCTGTATGAGTTATACGACCAAATTGACAACAGACAGCAGCTACTGGGTGGGCCATGTAGTCCGAATGGATGAAAACGCACCAGCTCTAAGAGTATTCGACGCAGTAGCCGCGAGTGGAAGCGGAGGAAGCGGAAGGCCTCCACTCCGTTGGAAAGAGCAGGTGGAGAAGACTTTGGAATCTACAATTGGCGCCAAACAGCGAAGAGGAAGAACGACTGGCACGCTGTTATAAACTCGGCTACAAACGCGTAAGTAATGTCTACGCCAATAAATAAGAAGAAGAGGTATATAATTACGTTTATATGGTTCATATAATATATATTTATGTGATTGCAGCCGTTAAGTAAATCACTTCGAGATATTTCCTCATTGAGTCATGAGCATGAGTCACATATGCCTCAAATATTGCGTAGATATGTATTTAAAGCATATGGTTGACCTGACTTCTTGATCAGTAAAAATCATAAATATTATAAGCATGAAATAAATTTCAAGTGGCAATTAAGCCTTGTACAAATGAAATCTGGATTACGCTGTTGAGTATACAATCGATTATTTATAGTTTTATTGATATAACCGTACAGAGAACGCCCAATCATTGCACATAAATTAGTACTCTGATAAGATAAGCGGTTAACGAATCATAGTTAACGCTATAAAACTATAAATATACATATATACATATGTATGTTTTGGTAGCGGCATTTTTTTGGTAGCATTTGTCAAACTGTCACCCCCCATTGGGTCAAATTTTACAGGTTTTACTATAGTTGTTTACAGTTTTTATTATTCATAGAAAAATCCCCGGCTAAGTTTCAAGTAAGAATTAATTATACACTTTATCGCATAAAATGTCACAAACATATGTACATACATAAATGAGCAAAGTCAAAATGTGACTGTGAATCGTTAAAACAAACTTGTTTTCTGTATTTCCATACAAACTAATGTAGCTTTTATCAGTTGAATAATTTTAATAAAATTTCAATAAAATATGGATTTTTGTAAAAATATGTACTTAAAAGGAGCACCAGTGGTTCCCTAAAGGAGCAACCAACAAACAACCTCTGTAAAATCTAAAATAATGATTTTTAAGAAAAACCGACAATGAAAATGTTTAATGAATCGGAGTTATCTTTATCTTTTAGCTTTTAAGGATAAACAACACGTGAGTTCGAGTGTCATTGAACTTTTAGACTCTGGCAAATTACAAGAATAATCCTTATTATTTATATATATACATACATACATATGTATGCATATAAAACCCTTTATCTAACGATTGGTTTTAAGTGATAAATGTTAGTTGAAGAATACTCGTATAATAGTTTTATTCTGTAGCGACATGTTACAAGAGCATAAAAACTCATGCAACCAAAGTCAGTTTACGGAACATGTTTAGGAACTCATAAAACAATAAAACAGGGTTGTGTTTATCTTAAATGCTGACGGACGGTAATTCGAGGAATTAATTGTGGTTCATCACAAAAGTCTCATACTATCGCATTAGCAATGTGGTTGTGTGGAAAGAACTTATAAAATAAATATTTGTTTAAATTCTTATTCGTCCTAATATGTATTAATATGTAAGAATTGACCAAACGGTTGAAGTTGTAAAGTAAGCAGTAAATGAGAAATGAATAGAAAAGTTTCGCGGCATTTTATTGATTTTATTTTTTTGCATACATATTATATATGTGCATATGTATGCATACACAGTTATTAAGATATGTATGTATGTATGTATGTATGTATGTATGCATGTATGTATGTATATTAAAGCCGCTCCATCCGTTTTGTTATATGCGCATGTATTGTCAGACTGACGGCGCTGCACATTTCCGTTTGTTGGCACGTTTTTTATTTTTTAATTGCATATACGATATAATTATTTACATACATACATACATATGTACATTCCGTTAAGGAAGAAACAACTTGTGTACACGTAATCCTAGCGAAAAAGCCGGTATCATCTCAGAACAAAAGCAACGCAATATGTTAAGTTCGTGTTATTGTAAACTTTGTTAAATTATTCATTCAACATTCATAATGTTGTTGCACTCACCTGAAACAATTAACGCCTCATTTGGTCCAGTCGTATGAATGTTACCCATCTTAGCTTATTCCTTATTATTGAATCTCTCTAGGTGTGTGTCGATTTAAATTATATTGTTTTGTTGGTTAAAGACCGCTTTAATTTTTTAATTAAAATGCACAGAAATACTTTTCTATTAATTCACTGACACTATTTCACAATGATTATATACGGTGGGACAAAAGAGAAACCTATATATAAAATTATAAAAAAGAAATGTAAAAATATAAAATATATATAATAAAAATATCTACATACTAATAAGTATTCATTTTTGATTTCTTTTTATCAGCACAAAAGCACGCAGAAAAAGTATTTTTGTCAAAATGCACTAACACCTGCAATACCAAGATATCGCTTTAGAATACCGCATTAAGTTGATTTAATAAAAAATTCTCAGAGGCACTTAAAAAATTAAACACATACATATGTATATCTCGCAGGCAGCAGCGCTACATAAGAAAACACACAAATATGTGGGGTGTTGGGTGTTCGATGATATAGAACTACGTCATCCTATGCATTGAAACGCCATGCCTTTTGCAATATGTATTAATTGGAACATATTAACTGATGGCCACACAAAATTTCAATTAAGAATTGCAAATTAACGCTATACATGTATCTACTAATTATCAAAGACGGTTGCTCATTTTATCTGGGTAAAATTATGTACAAATAAAAGTACTAATTTTGCGAAAGAAATAAGAAAACACATCTTCCTTAAAAAATCTAATTGGAATTTCAACCACTTTGCGTTTGTTTTGTTTTTTATTTTTCTTTCTTTTGATGCTCCGCTAGCGCCTACGATTTCTTATCACATTCAGTTTATAAACCGGTAACACTTACTTTTTCAGCTATTTTCACAAGTTCACTTTTTTCTTAACTATTTTGATACGTTTTTTTTTACTTTTGCTTTTTAACCAACAATTGACACTCTCAGCACACAAATATACGTAAAACACGACCGTACTATCTCAACTCTCGACTGCTACTCACACAGGCGCGTTTGTGGATGGCGCGCCTGAGAAAAATAACCGCTCCATCCATGACGTCATCGAATACAATCCACACAACAGGCTGCCAACTTAACACACTAGCTTTATTAGAAGTTCTCTGCTTTTAGAATAATGTAAGCCTATTTAAAAAGTTAATATGAAAACTGAATTCAATAATAATTTATTTGAAATTAATTCTCCTGTTGATTTATAATGCAAAGTTTTTTATGGAATTACAAATTTGTTATATTCTCTAGAAACAGATGGTTCGTGGATTGCATGATGTTAATAGAACAATGAATTTGAATGTCTATCAATTTTTTAAATATAAAGTAAGAAATTGTCTGGACTAAAATCTTAAGTTATATTTAGGATTTATACCATACAATTATTTATAGCCAGTTCTTTGTAATCAGTGAGTCCTATGCACTCACGTAATCACTTTGCCGTGGGTATCTACGGAAGTAGGTGCTAAGAGCTTTCCACAAAACAATTTCCCGAACAAAATTGTGTGACTTATTATTACAGTGAAATTTTAGCACATAAGAAAGAATGAAAAGTCTCTAATGAAGCGAAGAAGAACCTCTATTTGGATTAGCCAGTACTCAACAGCGAAGCACGCTTTTAGATAAAAAAAAAGCATATACCGAAATTTTCTCTCCAAGCGAAAGTCTAAAACAATGTGAAGGAAAATTGTGTATGTAACAGCCATAAAACCATTTTGCTTTTTGATGCATCTATAAATTTCTGTATGTATTGTTTCAGGAAACAAAATGCAAATAATATTATGAGTATCTATAAAATACAATTTAAATTATATATTTTGACGCAATAAATATTTTCAAAAGGTTTAAGGTATCGTCTCAGTGTGATCTTCCCAGAAATCACTCATTTTCGCAATTTTTTTCATGTTGAAATTAACTAATTGGTTCGGATTTTTTTCATGAATAAATAAATTCATAACGAATACAAAATAATTTTTTTTATGTTTATGTATTGGGTGTATAATAGTTCAATAAATTGTTGAAATGACACTTAGAAAAAGATCCTGTACGATGTCCACGATTGCGGCCGCAATTTTGTTATAAAACAAAAGTTTTAAAATGATGTATAATTTGTAGGAAACTCGCTATCGCATTAGGGAAGCTTTTCATTTTTTTATTCACCAACTTTAAATGTTGGTGTTCTGCTACCTAACTAACTGGCTTCACACTAATTATTCTTCCAAATACATGTGGCAACATACAAATCAAAACATGATATTCGATATCGAAAAATGCGAAAACAAAGGTAGGAAAAAATTAAATGTTGTTACCGTATCTCCTTTTATTAATAATTTTTTGACTCAATATTTCACTAATTCAACTATAACAGTAATATTTAATCTCGATTTGCGTGTTATTAAATTTTTTCATTTGCGAACATTTGTATACGCTTGTGGTTATATTAATATAACAAAAATGAGTTGAAATATTCACATAACTTGTTGTAGCTACGAACTATCTGGCATCATTTGTTTGGCGAAAGAAGCCAACAAGCGCGGTGATTTTTCATGATTGTGGACTGATATTAAACACATTCTAATTACAATTACAATAATAAAGTAATAAATACATAATAAAAAGTATTAAAAACATTAAAGAGCAGCAATCAAATTTTGCTGCATTGTTTGCGTTTCGGGTGGAGGTTGTAGGATTGTGTGCAGTTAATCTTGTTCCACCAAGGAAAATCGGTGTAAAACGTGAGACAACCGCTGCAAAATATACCAAAAAGAGGTAAGTAGTAAATGTAAATTAAGAAAACACAAATGGGCTCACGGACTTATGCTGCTATCGAGGTCGGTGTAAGTACCTCCAAGTGGTTTAAATATTGTATGCATTGCAATTGTGCTAATAACAAACTTGGTTAGACTTTATAACAAAAGTTATTGCAACGAGGAACATGTACAGTATTTTCGTGCAACTAAGTATTCTTATATTTTTTGGTAATGTTCATTACATTAATATTCATAAAATTAATTAAATTATTAAGTAAAGAATTCAGTTTTAAATTCATACTCTACTATTCACTCTAGTTACACATTAATTTAACTTTCACTTAACGTCTCTATGTGCTTAGTGTATGACTAATAATATTGTTTCTAACAGAAGTTTCTTAACCAAGAGCATATCTTTTGGAACACATGATTACTGCCCAACTTTGAGAACCAACGCAACCAATACATAACCACTTCCAATTTTTCGAACTTGCTACAACAAAAACGCCACAAGATCACCATCAAAACTTCGCAACACTTGACAGACTCCTCAGCCGCTTTGAGCAGTCGTAACAACAACAACCGCAGTACCAGTTCCTCTCCTGCAACAGCAACACATTTCTCATATTCAGCATCGAGGAGCAACAGTATGACCGATTATAGCGATTTGGATCGCCAGATTGAGCAGCTGAAACGCTGTGAAATAATCAGAGAAAATGAAGTAAAGGCACTATGTGCCAAGGCCCGCGAAATACTCGTTGAAGAGGGAAATGTGCAGCGTGTTGATTCGCCAGTCACAGTGTGTGGTGATATTCACGGACAGTTTTATGATCTTAAAGAATTATTTAAAGTTGGTGGTGACGTACCCGAAAAGAATTATCTATTCATGGGAGATTTCGTCGACCGGGGCTACTATAGTGTCGAAACATTTCTGCTGTTATTAGCGCTTAAAGTACGTTATCCAGATCGCATCACATTGATACGTGGCAATCACGAATCACGCCAAATCACACAAGTTTACGGATTCTACGACGAATGTTTGCGTAAATATGGATCGACGGCTGTTTGGCGCTATTGTACCGAAATCTTTGACTATCTCAGTCTTTCAGCTATCATTGACGGCAAGATATTCTGCGTGCATGGTGGCCTGTCGCCTTCAATACAGTATTTAGATCAAATAAGAACGATTGATCGCAAGCAAGAGGTACCTCATGATGGACCCATGTGTGATTTATTATGGAGTGACCCTGAAGATCAGACGGGTTGGGGCGTGTCACCACGAGGAGCTGGCTATTTATTTGGTTCAGATGTTGTGTCGCAATTTAACCGCACCAACGACATTGATATGATCTGCCGCGCCCATCAATTGGTCATGGAAGGATTCAAATGGCATTTTAATGAGACTGTACTAACAGTTTGGTCGGCGCCGAACTACTGTTATAGGTAAGTCAGATACAAGGGGTTTGGTGTACTTCTTTTGCCAGAAAATGTTTGTATTTTATAAAAGTAAAAACATAGCACCATTACAGGTTTTGACATGAAAAAAGAAATAAATAAAACCAACCAGTTTCAACCTAAACTAATTGCGGTGAACATAATTAATCTTTGGAAATTCATCTAAAATCAATGCGATAAAATAAAATTAATTTTGTTATTAAACAGTCTGGTGCCTGGTCTATTTTTTTAATTAACAATATGGCGCGCTGTTTTTTTATTTTGGTTTTAAAATGATCGCAACTAAAAAAGTGCTTCGATCAGCCACTAATTTTTCTTGTTAAAAAAGATTTATATATTTCACTGAAATTACCTTGTTATAGTGGTGACCAGTTTAAAAAATATAGTTTTGAGAAAAACTCATTTGAAGTTATACACGAACGTTGCAGAGCAACCGAGAACCGTAAATATCAAATAACTCGAAAAGTATCCTCAGATTTTTTCAGTTTTCTAAGAATATTTCCAATTTATACACATAACACTTTAAAAAATGCAAAAACAGCGATGTTTTGAAAATGCTGACAACCCCTAGCACCATAACTTATAGCTACGATAAGTGAAATTATGTTAAGTCATTTGTTAATTATACATTTAATGTTGCAGATGTGGAAATGTGGCAGCAATTTTGGAATTAAATGAGTACCTGCATCGAGACTTCGTCATTTTCGAAGCCGCGCCTCAAGAAAGCAGGGGTATACCATCTAAAAAACCGCAAGCCGATTATTTCCTCTAAAAAGCACTGGCAATCTGATCAAATTACTGGACATCAACTCAAATTGACATTTTGCGAACTAACTAATGCAGAAAAACGTTAATACGATATTACGCTGGAGGGAATATCAAATTTCCGGACCTGTTTAGAAAACAACTAGCAACATTTTGTTAGTATTTTTACTTCTCTTAGCCTATTTTACTTTAAGTTATTTGAGCGTACTTCCTATGTTAGAACAAAAATCCCCTTTTATTTGTCAACACACACTTACCTCTGGATCATTCATTTATACAACAAATTCAACCTACTGTCCGTGTTATGCTTGAGTATCGTAGTTTTCAAACAAATCGAAAATAACGTTGGCGCCCACGGTTAGTTGAAGCGGTGTAAGTTTCCGATTAGTCAGTAGTATTTACATACATAAACAAATTGTGCGCAATTTATACAAAGTTCCATGATATTGAAATATGTATTGCTGAAAGTCGTACCATAATAATAGTAATTTCATATACCGATATCATTTTTAAATAAGAATTAAAACTTATAGAAAGTAAAACCTCAAATGTATTGTAAATTGAAAGAACAATATCGAGAAATTACGTCACATGAGTAGTGCAAAGAGTTGAAGCTAAATTTAGTCATATGTAACTGCCACAGCTCGTAATTTGTCTCACTTTTTACTGAAAAGGCGTTTTTTCCATTCAGCGCCAGATACGCCAAAAATAAAAGAAGTGAAATCTGGTGTAAAAATTGTAGTTTTGTATAAATAAAGCACACAAAAACAAAACCAAAATTACAAAGAACTATAAATGCAGGAAATATTTTACAATTTTGTTATATGAGTCTTACAAATGACGCAGTGTAGTTTGTGATTTATCAGAAAACAACTTGCGGTCCTGTCAGTGGCATGACGTTCCGTAAATAACACAATATTTTTCAATTAAATGTATCAAGACTCGAGGATTGTAATTATAGTGTTGATTATTATATTGTGAACACGATAAACTAAAGTAAACACAAGCCGTAAAATTATATGAAATAAATTTAAATAA